AATAATAGGACGGGGTTCATTCATCCGTGGTCAACTGCATTAATATGGGTGTGGGTCGAAAGTAGGTACCCAGAATGGAACCCTGGTAAATGGAAACAAATACTAGCTGCCGTCCCCGGGTGAATTAATTTTCACCCACACCCATATGTTTAAACCCACCCACACAAGCTCCAGAAGTCCAGCCAAGACTCGTCATTGGCCACGCTTTCCTGCTCGATGACCTACATTGGCGTGCAGCTCTGGTAAGGCTTAGCCCTCGTGTTTCGCAAAGGCGGGGCATTGCATTGGCATCATCTGCCGCCTCAAACCCGCGAATTTTTCCCACCATCAAGTTTAGAAGTTTGGTGATGCTGGAAGCCTCGTCCAGACAACTTTTTGGAATCCCGGGAGGAGAGAGGGGGTTTCAGTGGAAGGGGTTGGCTGGTTTCGAATGTCTTACGTTTAGGGAAGCCGAGCTGTTCTTGGACATCTTTGCTGGGGGATTCCAAATTTGAAATGGGGGGATCCAAGTCTTATCCTCCGGGGGACGCCGCCAAGAAAACGCAAACACTACCATCTGGCATACGCATGGCGGAGTGTTGTTGAACAATAGGAAGTCAGAAGGAGACCATCTGGCATAAGTAGTGCGGCAACTGTCAAACATCGAATCCACACCTCGGTCTTGGACTGTAGGAAGCGGTTGGCCCAGTAGACGGCCACACCCAACAAGACCACCACCTGGGCGTTGCACCGGAGCCCGGGGGCTGTGCGTCAGGCGCCTGGAACCTAATGTCAACTTGGGGTTAATCCAAAGGACCATACTACAGTAATGCATTTGATTTTAGGGTGGTTCCCTTAAAAGTACCATACTAAGTACCATACTAATGCATTCAAGAGTACCATACCAAGTACCATACCATACTTGGGATGGTTCCCTTTTAGCAGAGAATCCATGCATTTGAGGACATTCCTCTGATCCTGTTCCGGATTGCTCCGATCGCATGGCTGGCGGTTGGAACTTTCGTTGGATCTGCTTGGCTGCCTTTGTTTGGTTATAACTGGCATTTTACAAACATGGGGGGTTACTGGGTGTATAAGTCTCAATAAGTCTATAACCCTACTGTAAGGGGCCGGAAAAAGAGAGGGAGTTGTGGGGAGGTGGGGGTATATAAAACCAAATTAATCCTTGTGAAAGGGACATTATTCATCCCCTTGGGCTGGCCAATCCTAGTTAGGAGCCACCACAAAGGGGACCCCCAGTTTGTAAACTTTGAACAGTTCAGCTGTGATGCATAGGCGCATAGCCAAGGAGAGGCGACAACGTGACCTGGACCCAAATCCCACCAACCCAACCCAACAACCCAACAACCCAACAGCCTTTTCCAACAAACAATCCAACAGCTCAACAATCCAACAGCCCAACAACCCAACAGCCCAACAGCCCACCGCAGCATGCAAAACCAACAGGCCAACCAAACCCCAAACCCTAAACCCATTCAAATGGTTGAGTTTAAAGGGAAGCCTTCCCGAAAAAGGAAAGAAGGGCGCTACTGGGCAACCAGAGACCCAAATCATCCAAGTCTCCGCAGCCACCACGGAGGTCTCCAGCCATCGACTCGATCGAGCTGCACGCGGTGGCTCCTTCACCTGACATCGGTCGCAACCTGAATCCCTCTGCGAGGTCGCGACAAACGTTGCAACCATGGGTGCCCGTTTTAGGCAGCCCCAGCAATCGCTGGTCTTCCTTTTGCTTTCAAGAAGGGGTGGCAACTCAAAAAAGACACACCCACAGAGCAGAAATTACGTGTCATAAAGCAGTCTTTTGCATGTCTTTTGCCACAACCATCTTTCGGTTCAGATACTTAAACCATGGGGGGGGGATTTTTATTCGTGTCATCTGCCCAGTCACAGAAATGAGCTTCATTTTCACTGGCCATGCAGCTTGGGATGTTCCCCATCCCCGTCCCGCAAAGGGGACCCTAAGCGGAGTACATCAAACAGGCTTCACTTTTTCGGGTGTCTGGCTCCACGCACAAGCATTTCTATTAGGTCCCCTCTTTGAAACCCCCCAAAAGTTTTTGCCACCTAAAATCGCCAGCGCGTTCGCAAATTCCGATGCCTCCAAAGGCCCTCACAAACCACTCAAAGGCAGGATGTTTAGATGTTCATTCCTCTCAATGCAGGCTTTTTGGCCGACTGCTTCATCTTGGGGCTTTGCGGCACTTCGCTTGTCTGGATGCAAACGTCACCTCTTTTGGGGGAATGCATATTGATTGATTTGTGCTGGGAAACCCAAAATGAAAGTGTCCATGTTTGGGGTCTGCCTGCTTGTATCCTGTTCAAACAAATCAAATAGATGGCCCTGGTAAATGAACATCCAACCAAACTGAAACCAAATGTTCAAACAAGCTGACCTAATAAGGACATCCGTCCCTTCCTCGTCTTATTATTCTTCTTCTTTGGTTGGCAGGTGCTGTCAGCATATCTGTCTGCGCAGCCTTGTGGTTCCTGCAATTATTGGGCACACCCATACTTGGCCGCCTACACTAGGTTGTACATGGGGCTATTTACCTGCTAAGTGGGGTTGACTGGGCTTATACTTGGGTGTGTGTCAAAATATTGCGACCCCAAAATGGCTTCCACGGATTTCCTTTCGGCTTCCCTTCAAACCAAGCTCACGGTCTCAAAAAGACAAGGTGCCCTCCAAAAAAACACAAGCTCACTTCTCGCCAAAGAAAGGACGGCCGTAAGCTTTAACTTCACGCCCACTCGCCCGGCCGCCCGCTCGGCCACGCGTCGCGCGCTCGACTCAAATCTCTGCCTCCAGCACTGGCTCGGTGCGGGACTTCCGGACCCGCCGCTCCATGAGTCCAAGGCGAAGGCATGGAGGTTGGGTGAGGGGGTTGGGTGGACAGGTGGGTTTGGGGTGTGTGTGGGTGTGGGGGTTGGGTGGACAGGTGGGTTTGGGGGGAGGGGTTGAACGGGTTGGGTGGACAGGTGTCACTGGAGCTCCCCTTGGAAAGTTGATCAACTTTGCTGGTGGCTTCCATCAGCTGCCACTTTGGGAGGTTCCAATCAAGGGAATGGAGGAAATGGTGGGAAGTCAACCTAACCGGAAGTCCACCCCAAAGCCAACCTTTAGGTGCAACATGTGGGTGCAACTACGGAAGTCAAGTCAAATGTTTAGATGTCTTCGAGAATCATCCTAAAAGAAAACTCGCTTTCAAGCGGCAACCAGAACGGGAAATTTAGGGGATTGTCTTGGAGTTTCAAAGGGAAATCAAGAAGATAACTGTTTTGGGGGTACCCTAATTCTCAGTTTCCAAGATATATTTTGGGATCCTTGGATCTCGCCTCAAACCAAACCCAAGCGATTAAACTAAAGGGAGTCCTACCTACGGTTGGCGTTGCTGGACTCAATGGGTCTGGGCTGCTGGGTTTCAAACTATATACCGGTGATCAAGCACCTTTTTATTCAAACGGCTGACATCTGAAAGCGGCGTGCGCGTTGGTGTCAGCCAGCTTCCTGGTATTACTTGTGGTCTAGAAAGCCCTCCAAGCGGCTTTCAGCTTGGACCGAAGTTCTGCGTTGGAAACCACGCCATGCAAGTCGCTAAGCCTCAGCTGGCCGAAAACGCGCGCGACAGGCCGAGCCAGCCCGCGCGAAAGTTGTGACATGGAACCTCTCGACATGGACTCAGATGCCCCGTGGATTTCCAGGCGAAATAGATCGGCATCCGATATTTTTTCGGTGGGTTGAGTTTAAAGGGAGCCCTTCCCAAGGAAGAAAGGGCGGAAGCCACTGGGCAACAGAGAGCATCATGGAGCCCAAAGGGGGTTTCTGCTTTTGGGACAGTTCTTGGGCTTCCCGGGGTTGGGCTCCAAGCCGGGAGCATAGATGACAACTGCTGCAAACAAAGATGTTAAACAAAAACAAATATAATACATCATCAGCCATGCCAATAATAACAATAAAGGAATCAAGTTTCAGACTGACGATCATGCAGACTCTTCTAATACGTATAAGATTCGATGCTCTGATCAGGTCATACTTCAACACCGTCATTGAAATCCCCACATGAGGACCGCCCCTTTCCACTCGGCTGAGTTCAAATATCCTTCCTCGGGTGCCCCCCCCAAACTACCAATTCAATCCAGCCACCAAGTAGAAGCTGCGGGAGGAGAGAGACTTTCGCTGGTTCCTTTTGTGACGGCCCGGAGGCTCCAGGGGCTTTCAATGCAAGACCCGACCCCTCCATCACACACCCCGGAGGTGGTTGGGGGTCTCAAAACCAAGTTGTTTGAAAGCCCTAAATCAATCGGGAGCCTCTGGGGGAGGTGATTCTGGCAACTCTGGCGCTGATTGCTTGTGAACAGTGGACTCGCGACCACCGCGGCATTGAGGCCGCACGGCGGCAGACTGTAAGTGGGAACGGTTCGTGGATGCCTTGCGAAAAGTTGGACTTTGAGTGGGATGTGTGATAATTCTTCCCGGTCGCCCAGCTCGTTTCCTTCTGTCTGTCTGCCCCATGTCCACGTCGAAACTTCTCGCCTGTTGAAATTTGTCCATTCCCCAAGCAATGGCCACTTCCTCGAAACCTCTCCCGCACGCTAGTATTGTTTAGCCATTAGAATTGGTTTCCAATAGTATTGTTTAGCCAATAGAATTGGTTTCCAATAGTCTTGTTTAGCCATTAGGATTGGTTTCCAATAGTATTGTTTAGCCATTAGGATTGGTTTCCAACAAGATTGCCGTGTTGACCCAGGACGTCCTGCAGAAATCTGTGGTTTCTCCAAGGGAAACTAAAATAGTCTCGCCAAAACAAAGTGGAATTTTATCTCTTGGGAGAGTGTGGTTACCTTACATATACGCACCTGCGGGATTGCGTGGTTACTCCCATATGTGGGGTTTTATCTCTGTGGAAACTCTCACCAAGCAAAGTCCCAAGGAAGGCCAAACATTGCCAGTGATCCCCAGCCGTCGCCCGCTCGCCCCGAGAAAGCGCCCCGAGAAAGCTCGCCTCATCGCTCATAGCGCCCACGGCCCGGCGCAAGCAAGGGGTGACACTGTAAACAAGTGCCTCACCCGTCTGTTTGCTGCGTTCGATGTATCAATCCCGCGAGTGTATGTGTATATATATATAATTACATGTGTAATACTCCATGCTACATGTATGCATACGTATGCCATGTACATCCGTGGTTCTGTGCGTTTACAAATATGTATCAAACTGCCGCCAATCTGTTCAATACAATGTTCCTCCTCAGGCTGCTTCCTGAGAATCTTGCTTGGTCAAGTGCTGGAGTGCTAGTTGTTTTTTGAGGGCAGCATATGACAAATGCAGAGACACTAAGGATGGAAGACCCCAGCTGAATATCCTGACGGCAGCCTCTGCATCTTGAAGTTGCTGGCTCGTCCCACGACCGAACAATGTCTCAAAGGAACTGATGTCGGCGGCTGTCGAGGAAATAGGGAAGTTCCCTCAACAAAAACACATCTACAGGGACAGGGGCAGGGGCAACGGTACTGGTCAACTTGGCCGCTCATGCTCGAATGTCAATACACCAGGCGGACCAACGCAAGAGCGCGCTTCCAACAGAAAACTGGACAAGGGATGTTCACATGGGCCGGAATGGCGCGGAAAGGGTTTAAGGAGTCCCAAGGATAGGAAAATGAAAGACAAGCCCGCCTACTTGAACGTGCCCAAATCAAAGTTTGCTCAAGTCTTGCACACTTTGCGGTCAGGATTTTGGCAAAAGGACATCGGACAAGGCCAAGTTAGCTGCTGGTCAGCAAGAAAGCCCCTCACCTGGAGCAAGGCCTGACCGTTGTGGGTTTCAACAGATCTAACGATTCGGTCACCCCAAAGCCCAGCCAAGTCGCGTACAGAGAACATGGGTTTGTAGTATGTTTTTGAGGGCACCCCTTTTGGTGGGTGCAACGGGAAATCAGCAGCAAACCACCTGTTTGGAGGGGCTGCTTTCACACACACCCATAAAGAGCAAGACCTCGTAGCGTTCAGCTGGGAGTCTGGGAGATCGGCTTTTGCTGCCTATGTCCTCTAGGTACCACGAAGGCAAACAACGATAAGGGAATCAGAAATGGAATGACCCTACTTATCAAGTGTCCCCTGTGGTTTCCTAGAAAATCCATGGGTTCATTCCCACATACCGAGCGCGAAGATCATAGAGCACATCACGATGCCAACAAGCCACAACTCTACCTCAAGACTACAAACGCGCAGAACACTCCAGGTTGCGTGCAAATCCTCGATGTTTAAAGAACCCAAACGACAGGCCGCTAGCAACAAGCGACCGCCGAAGAGGCGGCATGAAGCTGAAACGCACATGGGAAGTTGTGACACACGCCGCTGACGGTCAGCTTCCAACAGGTCCGCGCAAGATGCGCTTCCTCCGGGAATGCCTGTTGTTCGCGCGGCTGGACAGATTCTCCCTGTCGCCAATTCCTTTCAAAGAAACAAGCTCCAACTTATCTATCTCTCAAATCCTCTGCCTAGACCTTTTCTTGGTTGACGTTGGAAGGGGAGCAATAATTCATGTTTTTCGCAGATAAGTGGGGATTTCAACCACTAAACCACCAGCAAACATGTAAAATGGTTTCCAAACAACCACGTTTTAGAGCCAAGGCCCTCCAGAGACCTTTTGCTCCCGGCCTCGCCCTGGAGTCCTGAAAGCCACAACGCTTCCGCTGAGTGGAGGGAGTTTCAAATGGACTCCCGCGCAGCAGTTCACATCTCCAAGCATCCCAAGTATCCAATCTTGGGTTAACTTAAACCGAGGTGAAAAGAGAACCCCCCAAACATCAAGCACACACATACACCCTCCGCCCTTGCGGTCGGGCGCGCTGCTTTTTTTTCCACGAGGGAGATGCGCCTCGGGCTCGAGAATTTCGCCGCTGGCAAAGCCAGGTGCGGAGGCTCAAATTTTCAATTGAATGGGTCTGTCTTTTTGTTCAGGGTACAGTATGGCTTTCTTCTTGTGGCTGTTAGAAGGAAAACTAGAGGAAACCAACAACTTTTCAATTCTCTTTGGGGGGGTTCCCCTGGAAACATATGCACACTTTAATGACGTCCCGTTCCTTTTGCGTGCATCTTCAACCGCCAGTTGATACGCATCAATGCCGGTCCCCCAATGGAACGTGGACAATTGAGGCGGGCTATGGGCCGCAGCAGTTCAACACCCCTGCGATCCCCTGCGCAGTTAAACCATCGTTCTTTAAAAAAAACCGGCTGTTTGTTGATGGTTTCCTGAAAGGAAGGATCCCCGGAAAGAATGGGGAAGGCACCCCTAGAACAATGGATGGACTACCGCTTCTCAAGGGAGACAACGGCTTTTGAATATGGACAGCAACTCAAAATCTATATCTGGCTGTGTGTGTTAACACAGGGACCCAAAAAAAACAGTGGGGTTCCTTGCTCAAAGATTCACACCCCCATATCAAAAGGTGAAAAGGTCAACGTGGCGTTCTTTTCCCAAGCTTGAGCGTGGTCCTGTTGCCATTTCTTTTTGGCAAGTTTGGCACACCCCCAAGAATGAAGAGCCCACAACTTTCTAGGGGTTGATTCCCCATTCTTTGCAACCATCGTACTTTTAAAAAACCGGCTGTTTCCCCTGGGTATTTTGGTGGTTTTCTAGAAAGAAGGATCCTGGAAAAAATGGAAAAATTACCCCGCAACAGGTGCCAAGATAGGAGGACCCCGCAAAATGGTGGTTTGCCGCTTGGTGTTTAGACAACCTTAGAGAGGTTACCCTCTGAGAAAAATGTACAAATATATACAGTAAGGTAGTAGACTGACAACCCCGAGTGGCCATGCAGTACTCGGGGTTGACAGAAATCACTGTGACACACTGTGCTCCGACCAGTCGAGCCTTGCTCGAGTTCAGCGGGCAGCTAGGATCTCCCTTTAGGAGCAATTCTAAGATGGGAAGTTTCGCCCACCCCGAACGAATGGAGCTTCGAAAGATGCCTGCTTGGCAGATAAGAAATTGAAACTGAGCCTGGTTTTTTTAAAGGCAACAGACAATAGCACCACATGGGCGTGTCTTTTATTTTTGGTGGGTACACCCCCTGTCGGGTGGGTTTCTTAACGAAAACCAAAAGAACAACCGAAGCCAGTTTGGGGCTTCTCCCAAGACGCACACCCACATCTGTCTGTGGTCCCATGTTGGCACAGGGTGGAACCCGTTAAGCCAAAGTTTCGAAGCTCCCTTTGGCAAAGCAATACGAGCTGAGACAGAAGACTGAACAGAAGCAGCCACATGGTTCGTTCACGATCCCCACGAAAACCCCGCAAAAAAAAACTCACATGGCAGCTGATCAATATTTCTGTTTCTGGAAAATGCCAGCTTCAAGCAAACTATTTCGCACTCACCTTTCGCAACTCCATCGCAACGCCTTTTGTTTTGCAGCCTGCGCTCTGGAGCCCTTGTAGCTGCTGCATTTATGCTCGCAAACGCAGTCACCACAGTCACTTGAACTGGCAGCGTTGAGCAAAAGCAGTCACCATCATTTGCCCTTGCCACTGACACCTGTGGGGGATGCCCGGACCTTGCAACAAGCTCCATGGGCTTTGCCCGGTCTTTCGCGGATCTTTCGCGAAACTTGCTCCAAAATAGACCAGCCAACGTTTTGGTTTGAACTTTTGAACCATTCCCAACACAGGCAGGGAATCAAGGATGCAAGCAAAGGGTCTGTGCATCTCCCGGGGCCTGTGTAATTACAAGGGAGTGGGCTCTGCAAATATGCAAGTGCACAGGCATGTCGGAGAACCCAACGCGGAATCTTTCGCAACCACGACATCCCTTTCGCGGACTCCATCGCCGATCTTTCGCGGAGGGACTTAAATCAACACCAATGGTCACCGAATACAAAACTCATTGCAAGGATCCCTTGATCACCCCCCACATGTTGTTGAAAGGGGCCCAAACATACAATTCCTTCACCCACGCTTTGCGGAAATTGAGTTGGCTTCCATGTAGTACTCTAGTACTCTATCCTGATCGTTACAAGCATGCTAGTTGCGTACCCGCTGTCAATGATCCCTTCTAGGTTGATTGCCACCATCATCTGAGCCCAAAAAACACCAGTTGTTTTGATCCATGCTTCAATTGCCTGCTCAATCACAGCTCTGGTTTGGGGGGTAAATGACACATTGGCCTAGGACAAATTTCCCAGCGGCTTGAAAGGGTGTGAAGGTCAAGGTTGTTGCTGCCCATCACTCGCGCAAGACCCACAATGGCTAGTTGTACTGGATATGTGTATGGCTTTCTTTAGGGGACCCCCAAAAAGAGCGGTGTTCCTTCTGGTTTCCTTTTAAAACCACAAGAACGGGGTACCCCCAGGCAAAGACACACCCACACGTTCTGGTACACAGCTTGTTTAGTAATATGCGGCCCTAGCTACATGAACTCCAGCCACTCTCCGAAAGTCGAACTGCATCCGAGTTGTCGGTTAAGAAGAACTTCAACACTCGCAACCTAACGCCACCAAAGTCCAGCACTCCCCAACTCCCAACTCCACTGCTTTTTTTGGCTACCGTACTTGAAGGTTAGTAAGCCTGGTTAGAACCCACTTACCATGGCAATAAGTCTCCTGGGTGGGTTAGAACCAGGCTTACTAGCCACTTGCTGAGCTCCCTGCCCCTTTAAGTACCAAGAGGTTGTTGTACGTTGAAAAGTTGGGACCGTGACCAGATCCCTGAGGCTATAAGTTGAAGCTAGCCTGAGTGCCAGGTCATTCTTCTATGAGCACCTGGTTCGCAGGTAACAGGCTAACCTTGATGGACTGGACGGCCTTACCATTTGCAACACAAACAAGCTTGGGTGTTCTATGTCCGACAGGATGACCCTGCCACAAGAGGCGGCCAATGTCCGCAAAACAAAACAAACCCGTACGCCCACACGGGGCCCGCCTGGTTCCTCTGTCCCGAATGTTTGCGGTTCGCGGGATGAACCGATTTCCGCAATGGGATGCAAGAACATGCCAGCCAATCCCCGACCGTGGAT